TTTGTGCCAATGTTCTTTTTTTTAAATAAAAACAGGTCACAGACACTGATTTATGCCATAGAAACATATGGCAAGAAGATGGGGAGGCATGTAGCAAAAAATAACAAATATGTAGGCAAAAAAAAGGCCCTGAAAACAGGCTGATGTAAAAGACAGTCTTTACAGTTAATACAGTCTTTTGAACAAAGACAAGCATTTTACCCTACTGCTATAAAATGTAGTACAGTTAACATTAGATGTTAATTAACCAAGATAATAATGAACAATTTTCAATCAATACATCAAAATCAATAGACCGACATCACTAGATGGAGGTAGTCTATGCTCTAGAAAGTTACTTTTCAGCCTCTTAACAAAAATGAGAACACACACACACCCACCCACACACACACAGACACACCCACCCACACACACACACACACACGATACCGACCTGTGGCGTACACAGACAGCAAGAGTGCCGTAGCAGATTCCATTTCACCTCAGTAATCTGTTTTCTCAGCGTATTTCAGGTTGCTACTAGTTACCAGACACTCAACTTGTTTGTTGGTGGTGGGGCTTAAAGAAAAGGCACTAGCGTCACCCAGTGTATGAGCGTCTTTTTCCCTTGAGGAGCTCCGCTCTCGAAGCCTATGAGAAATGCATAGACTGGGGGAAAATAGCCCCGCCTTCCCGCAGGCTGCAGCGGGATGTACTTGGAAAATTGTACCATAAAACCACATAGCGTTAATCTCACGTTAAAAAAATTATCGCAGTTAAAATGGCCTCGCGTTAACACGATAATAACGCGATAATTTTGACAGCACTACTTTAAAGCCTTTCTATGTATTAAAAAAAGATTTAAAATTGTTTTCACCTGGATCTTTATATAGTGAATTGCTGAATTGCATGTCCAAACAATTTTTTGTGTGTGTGTCTTCATGAATGTAATGACCTAACTACACAAATTTATTGGGGGAGGATATTATGTCATTACGTACAACCCATATCAATTTATCACATCTGAAATTCCAAAGAAGCTGAACACAGAACAATCAATCAAACATTATAGTGTTAATGTGTTGAAAACATAATTTCAACAAAGATAAGATATTGCATTCATAATAGTTTTGTTTTTGTCTTCTTCCTTTTCTTCTCGTTTAATGGGGGTGGCAAACAAAGCTTTAGGTTCACTACTGCCACTACTGCATACTGTATATATATATATATATATATATATTATTATTTTTATTTTTTTTACCTGCTCATTTCTAAAAATAAACTGCTGTGGCTTGGTCTAACACAAGACATGAGACATGAACACTTTTAGAAGGTGCTGAACTAAAGCAATGAACCAAGCAGGTTATCTGCTTTATGAAATTCACATCCTATTTATAATTATCTGAGCTATATCTTTAAGTTTAAAAACAAACGTGTCTGTTTTGTCTGAGGTATATGAAGATGCTGTAAAAAAAAAAGTTTTCAGTTTAAAAGTTGTTGAAATATAGCAGGAAGCTTTAGAAGGACAAAGTATTCTTTAAAAAGGAGAATGTTCCAATTTTCCCACTTGTCCTCACTTCTATAGAATCGTCCTTACTTTGATGCCAAAAGAGAAAAACATCTAAACACATACAGGTTGAACTTGAACAACTGTTAAGTTCTAATTATCCAAAGAGCTTTCCAAGCTTCTCTACTATCTAAACTCCCAAACCTTTTAAAATTGCTTCATGATCTAAGATAAGGAGGGTTCAAGTGCCTACAGCTTCACTCCCGTGGACTTTCTTTCAGACAGCAAATTGAAGATGTTCTTTTGTGACTCATGTCAATCTATAAATGACAAACAGGCCTTATAAATATCAAGAAACAATCCTACCATTAAAACAATAAGGCGCATTATTTTTAACAAAGTGCTTTTTGTAACATCAGCTCAGTACTTGTTTTCTTTATCTGCTACTTCCATATCCAGAGCTTCTCCTTCTCTGTGGTTTTAACACATGTTTAATATTGGTTTAAATCTTTCTGGTATTTGCTGCTAAAGTTGCAGAAAGGCTCTGTCCGTTAGTTTTATAAAGGGAAGCGTTTACCAGTTGTCTTTGCCTCCCAGTCTTTGTCCATTATGCAAACTTTCCTTTCATGTTCAGCCAATGATTTAGTGTTGATCTTACACTGTTTAACAAATATAAGAATATCTTGCAGCTATAAAACACTACATGTTATAGTGAGGTGAACAGGGATAAGATTTGTGCTTTCAAATAAAACCTACTTATTGATTGACTCCATTGTACAGCGATAAGGTGCAAGTTTTATTCTGCTGGCAGCAAATCCATCATATTTCCTCGCTAAAACTGCCAGCAAAGTGAGGTTTAACGAGTCACGATGTGTTCGTTTCTCATTCTCCATCCAGCAAATATCGAGCCAGACAGAGGTTGATGTGCGTGGGCCAAAAGACCAACGCTTAAGCCCTGACAAGAGCAGTCGAGACAGAGAAAGTAGAGCGGTGGAGAGGTGGAGGGGGGCTTCCAAGAGTGGCTACTGAGGCATCTGTTGGGACTTTGAAACAGACTCTGTCTAATTAAATTTTGGCTTAAAAAAGAGGGATAAATGAAATGGGACACCTATTTGAATTCACAGTCAGAGGTGTGATGTTAATTATTAGAAAATGCCTGTTTTATGTCGTGTTTAAATAATTTGTTTCTCCCTGGTTTTATTGCTTTTGATATAGTGCATTGTTCTGATCATGATCATAGTGGGCATTGATAAGGAAAAACCCTCCTGTTTTCCCATCTGTTCCATCTTTTCTCACAGAAACCCCTCCATGTGCCCACCCACGCATGCAGAATCCTTTTCTGCATAATGACTTCATCTCCGTCTTTGTGCTAGACTCTCTTTTTACCACAAGCAAAAACTGTCTGGTATGAATGAAACTAATGTCCTCTCCTGGCAGGGCAAAGTCACCAACATAGAAGATTTGCCAAGCAAAACCAAAAGGTCCTTCTCTACTGCCGTAGTCCCTTTTAGCTCAGAAATGTCAGTTTTTTATATATTGTAGGTGATTCTGATACTAGAATTGTTTTGGAAATTATTGTTGAGAAAATTAGTTAAAATGTAATGGTCTGTAAGGAGAGTAATCTAATAAGAATCAAGATAGTTTTACCTAAATTATTATACTATAGTCTTAAAAGTTTATGTTATATAAAAATGTAAAGTCTTCCATTATACTTTTTTACAGTCTAGACTTCAGTTCACATATTTATTTAGCAGTTTGTTCCAAAATATAAGGTTGTCTGATCACCACCCTCTGCTTCTAGCTGTCAGTAACCTTCATGTAATAGTCCAAGATACACTATATTGCCAAAAGTATTTGCTCACCCATCCAAATTATTGGAATCAGGTGTTCCAATCACTTCCATGGCCACAGGTGTATAAATTCAAGCACCTAGGCATGCAGACTGTTTTTACAAACATTTGTGAAAGAATGGGTCGCTCTCAGGAGCTCAGTGAGTTCCAGCGTGGAACTGTGATAGGATGCCACCTGTGCAACAAATCCAGTCGTGAAATTTCCTCGCTCCTAAATATTCCACAGTCAACTGTCAGCTGTATTATAAGAAAATGGAAGTGTTTGGGAACGACAGCAACTCAGCCACGAAGTGGTAGGCCACGTAAACTGACGGAGCGGGGTCAGCGGATGCTGACGCGCATAGTGCGAAGAGGTCGCCAACTTTCTGCAGAGTCAATCACTACAGACCTCCAAACTTCATGTGGCCTTCAGATTAGCTCAAGAACAGTGCGCAGAGAGCTTCATGGAATGGGTTTCCATGGTCGAGCAGCTGCATCCAAGCCATACATCACCAAGTGCAATGCAAAGCGTCGGATGCGGTGGTGTAAAGCACGCCGCCACTGGACTCTAGAGCAGTGGAGACGCGTTCTCTGGAGTGACGAATCGCGCTTCTCCATCTGGCAATCTGATGGACGGGTCTGGGTTTGGCGGTTGCCAGGAGAACGGTACTTGTCTGACTGCATTGTGCCAAGTGTAAAGTTTGTTGGAGGGGGGATTATGGTGTGGGGTTGTTTTTCAGGAGCTGGGCTTGGCCCCTTAGTTCCAGTGAAAGGAACTCTGAATGCTTCAGCATACCAAGACATTTTGGACAATTCCATGCTCCCAACTTTGTGGGAACAGTTTGGAGCTGGCCCCTTCCTCTTCCAACATGACTGTGCACCAGTGCACAAAGCAAGGTCCATAAAGACATGGATGACAGAGTCTGGTGTGGATGAACTTGACTGGCCTGCACAGAGTCCTGACCTCAACCCGATAGAACACCTTTGGGATGAATTAGAGCGGAGACTGAGAGCCAGGCCTTCTCGTCCAACATCAGTGTGCGACCTCACAAATGCGCTTCTGGAAGAATGGTCAAAAATTCCCATAAACACACTCCTAAACCTTGTGGACAGCCTTCCCAGAAGAGTTGAAGCTGTTCTAGCTGCAAAGGGTGGACCGACGTCATATTGAACCCTATGGATTAGGAACGGGATGTCACTTAAGCTCATATGTGAGTCAAGGCAGGTGAGCAAATACTTTTGGCAATATAGTGTATTTAAGACCTCTGATCATAAGACACACTGTACCAGCTCTTTGGACCAATTTACATCATATATTACCATATCATCTACAAAGTTTTCTTATTATTAGATTTAATTCATTTTATGCGGTGGCTAAAACAATATGGTCCTGTAGCGTTTTAGATGTGAATAAACATTACCTTTCAAAAGTATTCATTCATTTATAAATTCATTTTCCTGCAAGTTAACAGCTTTGAATATAAGTAAAGCCTGGGAAGTGCATAAAAAAACAGCAACTAAGCATTTAAGAGAATTCACTTCTGTCATGAAAGGAAAAGAATCAAAACAATTTCATATAAATTGAAAATTTACTTGGTTCTGTCTGTCATGTTGGGTTCAAGGCGTCTAACCCACATGCAGAAAACACTCTTGAAACAGAGAAAAGGTTAAAATGATTTATTTACAATTTTTACAAGTTAAATGGTCACAGGAACTGGGTTCTTCTGACTGGTCACGGGAGGGAAGCCACTGAGGAGGACAGAGCAGTTAGTGTAGATCCAGGAAACGTGCAGATTTCAGACGACGGGGATTAATACCTGCTCAGAGAGGATACTGATCAGCAGGGGGGGAACCTTGTGAGTCCAGAGGCTAGTCGGCAGGCAGAGGGCTGAGGGCTGAGGCAGAGACTGAGACAGAGTGCAGGCAGGCAGATTTCAGACCAAGATACTTTCTCCAGGATTCCAGGTTTCCAGAAAAATCAGGATCTGTGAGGCAGAGAGAAACTAGATCAGACAGGTTCTCAAAATCAGGGTTACAGATCAGGCAAGCTGGCTCAGGTTTTGCTAACCATTACTGGCAAACACTCTGGCAGGGAAGTGTCAGCCTCCTCTTCCTTAAATAGGTCTTCTTGATGAGGAGACAGGAAACAGGTGTGTGGAAGTGAGCTCATGCCCTCAGGAGGAAGATCTCAGGCGCCCTCTGGTGGAGAAAGTGAACAAGCCTCCAGATCCGAACACTGTCATGTTTGTTAATATTACATTACAGTCTTACCTTTTTTGAGCAGAGTGTTGCACCCATGGATGTAGTTAGTAGTTATCATTATTACCTTTTATGATTTCCTCTCAGTTTATTTTGCGTTTTCAAGTTTTAATTTTGTTTTCAATAAAAAAATAAAAAAAAAGCTGTGTCGTTTTCTTTATATGCTTCACTAATGTATTTTGAGTATTGAGATCCTTTCAGATGCCTAAACTCCCAGAACACCTCTGATTTTCATCTGTTATTTTACTGTCCTCCATCTATCCTGCTTTGTTGAATTTAGCTGATTATGAGCAGAAAGCTTATCACTGTAGGCTCAGAAATCATCCAGCTGGCCTTTTGTTGTCTGATCTTCAGTAGAATCTGGTGAATCATTGATTTGCCAAAAAAAGTAAAACTTCTCAGTGCCTTAAAGGAAACTGACTCCCTCATCTAAAGTATGCTGTCACTGAAATGAAGTAATAATTAATGTTATTCAGCAGAAGTGTAACCTAACTATCAGTTTATGATTTGCATATTCTGATTAGTGCCATGTTTGATTTTCCTAAATTGTCTTTTTACAGATTAAGCATTTTCAATGAAGCTGTTGATAAAAAAAAATATTAAAAACAAGTAAGGTGGGATGACCCTTATGTCAGTGATATAAACAATTACACATATCCATACATTGCTGTATAAAGTTGTGCTCAGTTTTGACTCTGGTAAAGAATATATCACCAATGAAAGAGGTAGGAGGAAATGTGTCATTAGAGATCAGACTGACCAGCTAGCTGCTGATGATGCATGGCCTATTATTCCAGGATAATTATCATGCAACTCTGCACAGAACTAAAACAGGAGTAATGGCAGTCAATGGCCATTCAAGTTCTCACCAGGATTCCTTGAAGTCAAATGAAAGCAGAGGAAGCTGGCTGACAGATAGACGTATTTCACAACAATCTAGGGACCCTGCCAGCCCTATAAAATATATACTTTACATACAATTCATCTACATTTAAGCTTAATAGGCAACAAAGAAAAACCTGGTTCTTTGGATCCCATCTCCCTGCAGTTCCCAGTTTCCCCTTGATCTGCCAGGAAAAAATATCATCTAAAACTAGTATGTCCTTAATAAGAATTGCTAATATATTGTTTTAATCTGAATTTAATGTAATGATAGTATTTTCTACATTATTGCTTATACTAGAGGAATTTGTGCCAAATAACATTCTACCTTTAGCCTCCTCCTCCAGACCTAACATTTGCATCCAACAATTACTGAATCTCCTGTTTTGCTCCTGCTGAATGGATTCTCGGACCCCTAGTGAGCCTTTGCAGTATTTGTTCTACTTTGCATATAAATTTGTAGACAGGGACTTGGTAGTCCAGGTGGGACCTGCAGCTGCATTGAATTCTAATGACGTTGTATAAAGGAAAGTGTGCAGAACCCTTTGGACCGTTACATAGATTTGATTTTTTTTTGTCTGCGACACAGTTTTGGGTTTCTCCCAGTCAACTACATTTAACATGAAAGCTGTGCATTCTTTTGTGGAAAACTGCCCTGGTCTTCCGTGTCATCTCATATTTATACTCAATAGACAATGCATGTCTGATTAAAACCTTTCCTGAAAACTTAAGCATTTGTAAAAACTAAATAATTGCTTAAAAAATCATGTTTATTTCAGATAAACTATTGGAGTATTAACAAGCAATGGCATTAGTGAGTGAGTACCAAATAAAAGATTGTATTTAAAAAAATAACTTTTCATTTTTTACCCAGAATCGCACTTGAGGAATAGTTAAACTAAAAGTAATAAATAAAAAGCTGCTCAAATTAGTTGATTGATGTGGATTACATGTATCATAATTCTGATTAAAATAATTGTGAAGATTGCCCATTAATCACATTCCAGTATGATAATTTATATTTTAATCTTCAAAGATTGATTTTTGAAATATTTCCTTTGAAGATTTATCCACTCCTTTTTTCACAGACCATTGCCTCTGTCCCTAACTTTCTTATCAACTGTTCTAGAATATCATTTTCATCTACTGTGAGCTTCATTTCTGACCCCCCGCCTCCACACAGCTCCCCTCTGCTTAATTTGTCTCTCACAACTTATAATAATCCTCTCTCTGTCTCCCTGCCCACCTGCGTCTACTCTTTTAACTGGATTCCAGATAAGAAAACACACTTCCATGAACAAACAGAAAATATTTCACTTTAAGGTTGGTGAAAGGAGTTGGGTTATGTATCTGCAGGGCACCAAAGCACTACCGGTTTCCCTGGTAACAAACACTTCAATGCCGCAGCTTAACCTGCGAGATAATTGGATGGAAGGAATGGGTGGATCTGCTGTAGCTTGGATGATGAAGGAAAATGTTCACATTACAGGTGGTCGCACCAAGCACTCAAACCCACACACTGTCTTATCCAGGATGAAACTTGGATTTTACTGACAGTCTGCTAATTAATGTCTTGACCTCTGTTTTATTTTATGTCACTTAAGTATAAAAAAAAATTATCCCTCAAGTGAAGTTCAGAAGCTCTAAACCATATTTTAAAACTTGTTTTTGGAGAATTAAAGGTTTAAATCAAATAGAAATATCGAAATCTGATGAACAATCCTAATCACAATGCATTAAGAACTCATTCTGTTCAGTTATAACTCAATGAAAGAATAAATTTAAGATAACTAGATAATAGTAGCCCAATGCCAACGATAGCAGTGCGGATAGAGAAAGAGGTTCCTAGAAGCCGATGGAAATGATAATCAGGTGCTCAGTTATTGTCTCTTAATTAGCAATAAAATGTCCCTAGTTGAGAGGGCTAGATGACCGGAAATAATGGAATTAGATTTTTCTTTCTTACAAACCAGAAATAGCTTATAAGTCATCAGCACTTCTGAGGTAAATGGTCCATTTTATCCCTAGATTAGCACAGTAAAAGGGTTTCTAATAGATTAGGACATATCAAGCATAAGTGGAATGGGTTCTATCAAGATGTATTATACCTTTCCTTTGGAAAAAAAAAGGTAATTTTTTTTTATATTTGTATATTTTAGTTGGCTGGGTATCAAATTAACAATCCTAATGAATATATTTTTTTAATAACTCAAGTTTTTTTTTGTATTGGTGCATTAAATAAATCTTAGTAATATTTTTATACATTTGCACTGTAATAAGTTAGTTTTTCTTTTCTGATAAGTTTTCCAAAGCTTAAAAAATTATATATGCAACCACAAAACCACCCTTTTTTTTTCTTTCCTATCATGCTTGCATATCTGCCATGTGGGACCAAGTATCAGCTAATAGCTAATACGTTTTAGTCCTAAGCAATATGTGCAAGAGGTGTGGGAGATTTCCCCATAGTGTGAGCTTTGTCCCCTTGATAAAACATTTTCTGCAATACGACAAGAACAATCAACTGATACCACTTTCTCCATCCTCAAGCAAACTGAAGTTGCTGCTATTTTCACCAAACTTATGAAATCAGTATCAGACTTATTCTACCCATTTTAGTTCATAGTGATTACAAGATTTTGGTTATCTTCCAAGGTAGACTGAGGTAATTAGATATAATATTGGATGGGTTGACGTCTGTTTCCTATTTTATGTGTAATTCACAGGATGGTATTAAGGTGCTAAATACTTAGACATTGGCATAATATCCCAATCTCTTACTCAAGTAAGACCAGAGCTTATTCAACATAGATTAAAGTTCAAGTTAAAAGGAGAAATCAAATAATTTCTCAAAAAGCACTAAAAAAAAGGAATTAGTTTTAAAAAGTATCAACATTTTTTTTATATCATATAAAGTTTAAAGACTAAAATAATACAAAAAGAATAGCAATAAATTATATGATTACAAAATAACAAAAACAGAGGAAAGCCTTTTTTTAAATTTTCAAATTTTAACACTTAACCATGTAAAACTTTAAATTATATTAAGTATTTTACATTTAAGAACATCCAATAACAATGTGTAATGTTTACTGTATCTGTAAACTCCAATTTCCACAGCAGATAGAAAGTAGTGCTTAAACGTCAAAGCTTGTGAAGTAACAAGCATACTCATTTTAAGATTTAACTGTATGTATCTGTTTCATTTTTGATTGAAGAAGCTTTTTCTCCAGTTTGTGAAGTCAGTCTTAATTGGTAGAGTAGCCAAGAACTTTATTAAAGTAAGAATAGCAATGATGTATGATACCACTAAAGTAAAAGTAAATAGTACAGTTCCATTGAACTACTCCTGAAAAATGGAGGTAGTTTATACTTTAGAAATACTTTATGTCCTCTACCCACTTCAGATGGCTAGATTTTATAATTTAGTTTAACAGAACCATTATTTTAGTATTTGGAAATTAACCTTGCTTCTCGGATTAATTGATTGAATTGGTTTCTAACTTCCCAAGTTTTTTAATGATGTGCCTCTTTGAAAAAAATACCAAACTATAAGTTTGATCAATATGACTCTAAGCTCTACACAGTCCAAAGTAGATGGCAAATTCCCCAAAGCAGTTCTATCTCCGAAGAGGTCGATCACCTGAAAGCATCAGTTATAGACAAGTTGTCCTATGTTTGAAGAAAAAGACATAACCAGTGAACTAAGGAAAAAGCCTTGAACAATTAAGTTAGAACAAGGACTCTTCATCCTTTTTGAACTGCAGTTGTTATTAATATTTGTTTACTGTGAAAAGAAAATGTTTTCTTGCTTTTGGGTGAAGATTAGAGGTGTTGTTCTTCCTTTTTTGTTGTTATTTCTTTTTATGTCTCAAAAACAAGTCAAAGCTTTCTGTGATGTCATCACTGTCCTTCAGCAAGTTCCAAAGAAAAGTAAGAGCCTTCACAAATGTGGTCACTTCCATGTTTTTAGATCTTATTTTGCTATTTTGGCTGCTTACAACCCGTTCCTGTGCAACAGATCGTGTTATTGTGTTTTAGTTACATTATATCCTTTATCTTGAGATATTATCTTCTGCCATTCTAGAAAATATGGGGATCATTTCTAAATGTTGAGTTGTTTTTGATAGAGTTGCTCTTGGGATGTTCTTACTTAAACTTTATTTATTGACAAGTTCTGGGGCTAAATATGTCCTGATGGGATTAAGATTTGTCTAACCAACATGCAGAGAACACTCAGGAGACAGAGAAAAATTCAGAGGTTTATTCACAGAGTTTTTCAAATGTGCACTGGAACTGGGTTGGTCCGACTGGTCACGGGGGGATCACCACTAACGAGAACAGAGAGGTTAGAGGATTTCCAGGGATCCAGTAGTTAGTCGGGTGACTGAGTAAATACTTGTTCTGGGGCTGAACAGATCAGCAGGAGGGGGGTTCCCCTGAGGGTCCAGAGGTTTGTCGGCAGGCAGAGGGCTGAGGGCTAAGGCAGAGACTGACCGAATACAGGCAGGCAGATTCTAGACTGAGTAACTTTTCCGGTTTCAGGTTTTCAGACAGGTCAGGTTCTGTGGGCAGAGAGAGAGAATTGGATCAGGCAGGTTCACGCAAAAACACAGAGATATGATCAGGCAGGTTGGCTCAGGTCTACCTGTACCATTACTGGCTAACACTCTGGCACTGGAGTGTCAGTCTCCGCCTCCTTAAGAAGGAGTCTCCTGATGAGCAGATTGAAGACAGGTGTAGCAGTCAGCTCATGCTCCCAGGAGATCTTGTGCGCCCTCTGGTGGAGAAAGTGGACAAACCTCCAGATCCCAACAAAATAGCTTTAATTTGTTGCAGAATTATGATGGCTGTGAACTTTTATTTATTTATTAAGATTCATCAGGACATTTGCACCTCAAGACTCTAGATAGAGAGAACAGGTGGTTTGATGGTTTGTTAAAAAGAAAAGCCAACTCTGAAGAGGGGGAAAGGATTGTTGTTACACCCAAACATCTTTACTATAACCTTGTGTGGAAAATAATAAAAAAAAATACATAAGCATTTAAATAATTTTTCAGATAGCCAATACACAACTGACACAAAACAGCAAGCTCTTCCGAGGCAGGGGGAAAATAGGTAAATCACTAATTTGCATCTTACTGGAGATCCGCCTAGGACCTGTGCCTCTATAGCCTGTTTTCCACTAAAAGCTCTGGGATGTAAAGCTCCAAGATTTGTTCGAAAAAGCAAAAATAATTGCCGGGTAACTCTTCAATGTTCTGTTTAAGTTCTTCAGAAAAGCCCTGGGACATTTATCTCGATCAGCCAAGGTAAACACTGCACTACTCCTTCAGTCCAGCAGAGGGCAGTAATAGGAACTAACAAGTTATTTTAAAGAAAAAAAAGTCCGGTCACATTCAGAAATCAAACTTCTGAAAGTACTTCATGTATGAAATTATTACATGCTTTTCAACAAATGATAAGTGCTTTTAATAAAGAGTAATTTCATTTGAATGTGCTTTACCAGAGACATCCATGTTTGTCAAAGAGCACTACTGCCACCTACCTGATTTCCACACAATGGTGCGGTATCGGCTGTTGAGCAAGTCCAAGTGCTGTAACTGGTGTTTGTCACAATGTGCTATTATCCATTATGGTGACGACCAGTGCACTATGCGAAGCAGAGAGTAATGGATCGATGACAGGTTTTTTCTCTGGTCAGAAGTTTGATGGCAAATCCTCCCTCTTCAAGTTGGAAATCCAATGATGGACCCCTGGTGGATAATGAATTGGAAAGGTGAAATAAAAAAATTTTTTTTTTCACTTTTACCAGATGTATTACAACATCCAACTGCCATGCAGGCGTGGGCATTGTCACTTTAATTATAGGTCTTGCAAAGTTCAATGGTGAAGTCCTCTTGGAATCTTAAATAATTGTTGTTGATTGCAGGGGTGTCTAGTAGTTTCCATTGATTTTGCTTGTAAAGCGGGGAGAATGCTGCTAAGCTTTCTGCACTGTGATGTCACTGCCGGAAGATGTCAGGAGTGAGGTGTTACTATATTTGGGCACAAATGACCAGTAAGTGAGCGACCACAAGTGACCGAAAAATATTGTTTAGATTTTTTCACTGATTAACGCTAAATTCATTAAATTACCTCAAATGTATCAGTTTTTAGCATAAATAATGACCCATCGGTTATCCTTGCTGACCGGACGTTCCCTTTAACCTTTGCTCCCAGTGTCGTATAGAAGGATTATAATGCTGTATTTACTCCCTTAAAAACAACATTATAAATGTTCTGGTTGTTGTTGTTTCAAGTGATAAATAGTGATAAATGAACAGCTTTATGGTCATGCAGTTTAGTTATTTCTGTGACTGTCAAGTTGTTATGGGTCCATTGAAGAGAAGAATTTAAATAATTATTTGATATTCGAGTTTTATCAACCTACATCTGGCCAGAGCTGTTGCTTTATAACTGCATGATTTGTTCATAATCACTAATAAGAATGATTAATACCGTATTTTCTTTAATTCTAACAAAAATAATCACTAGGTTAATCTCATATTAGATATCCACAGATAAAAGAAAATCTATCTGACAGAGGGCAGCCCACATACACTGGGAACATGTCCGACTTAATGTCTGCAAGACTCCTATTCTGCTTCTACAGCAGTTCGATGGCCACTAGTGGAGGGCCCTTGACTCTCTACTCCCAATGCATCCACCACAAGAGACAGAGCGGAATGTCTTCTTCAGGTCCACAAAACACATGTGGACTCTCAGAAAACCCTCAACCCCCTTGCAGAGGGTGGAAAGCTTGTCCAAACTCCTCCCAGGACTTAGATTCTGCCTCTGCAATGACTAAAGCAGCAGCACACTTGGCTTTACAGCAACTGGTGCTTCAGGAGTCTGACAAACCAACCAGGCTCAATAGGACTCCTTCAGCTAGACATCGTCCCTTAGTGGTCATGTTGCCACCAAAACAGTGACCACAGAGCTAACGGCTACAGCTGTGGGAAGCCGCATCAACGGTTGAATCTAAGAGATGCTCTCCTGGAAGTGGGAGATAAACACATCCCTGACCAGGGGCTCTCTCAGACAATCCCAGGAGACCCTCACAACTCACTTGGGCCTGCTGAGTCTGTCCAGCTTCCTCCTCTTCAAGCGCTTCCAACCGAGGGGAATTCCCCATTAGGCAATACTAGGCAGTTGCGTAGTTGCCTAGGCATACTAGGCCTAGTATGCCTAGCATGTAAACTATACTGTTTACATGTATAGTTAATACAACTATTGCTTATTTGTGCACATCAATTATGTTTTTGATTGAAATCCTTTCATTAGAATGCCATCAGGACATTTATAATATTAAGTGTGTCTCAATCCCCAGCCTTTAGTGTCCACCACATTGGATCAGGCTATTTGCTGCACTTGTTCATATAGGTCCAAACAGACAGCAGAAAGCCATTTGAAAACCAACAGTGCGAAGAGTAGTGTTGCCAACTTTGCACTTTTGTCACTATATTTTGCAATTTTTCCGGCCCTTTTAGTACTTTTGTTTCCAAAAAAGTGCCTAGGGCCAAATGTACTGTAGCTACTATTTTCTGCTACTGGAGACCTTGGCAACAACATATAAAAGCACTGAACTATGCTCTCCACAGCAAGTAGATTTGTAACCCTGCCTCCTGCTCTTCTCTATCTCGTCTGCTGTCATGATTCATGCAGCTATTATTATTTTATTTAAATGAAAAAATGGAGAACAGATGAGCACCTCATGGCTTGTCTACAATGAAAAGAAGGACTGTGTTATTTACTTTTGCTGTTGCCTTTTTGGAAACACAGGAAGGAGCAATCAGCTAAGTGAGATTAGTGATTGAAAAAAAAATCTTTAACTCCTATTGAGACAGCATAAAAAGTCAGCTGAGTATAAAACATAGAGAAGAAAACTACAAGAAAAGAGGGAGACAAAACGTTGAACAAATAATGTATGTCTATTGTATTCAAATTTCTGTAGCTTTATAATAGGTCTGTTTTGTGTTGTGATGTCAATTCAATTCTCAATTCAGAGGGCCCCATGCCTGTTTTTTTCCAGGGCCCCAAATTTCCTACATCCGCCCCTACTTCCAGCTTATCACCATGTGGTGATAGGTGGAAAACTCTACCTTTTTCTTCACCCGGGTGTTCATGAGATGACAGGAAGATACAAATACAAAATGAATCACTGATCTCTTCTTTTTTGGCTAAGCGCACTGATGGAGATCTCTGTGTTTGAAAATATTAATTATGGACAAGCTATGACTTGTACAGAGGTCCAATAAATAAACACCATACAGTTTTAGAATTATGAGCCCATTCCTCCCAATCCCAGCGCCCCAGGTGTCTCTTTCATTTCCCAAATAGTCCCCCAGTAGAATGATGGAGTTCCCAGGAAGGGCACTATACAAAGGTTCTGACCAAGAAGGCCTGGTACTCTGAACCACCATTTGGTATACACACTTAAACAATAGTCCAATCTGAAACAACAGTTTCATTGCCAAATGGGAGTGGGGCTTTTAAAAGACCTTAAAAAAAACCCTGATGAGCTTAAAATCAATAGAGCTACAACCAACAGGTTGCCCAGGTGTGAATTTGTTGTGAAATTTTATTTATCAAATAAGAAGAGACCACCACTCAGTAAGACAGAGAAAGATGGATCTTCATTTTGCAAATTTAGTTAAAGGCTTAAAGCGCTTGAAGGCTCCCGCTCCACGGAGGAAAAAGCATTGAAGGACAAGAGAAATCAAATCATCTATAGTCTTACCTGTTCCTTTTAGTTTTAGTAGTCTTGTAGAATGCTCTTTGAATTTGAGAATGAAAAAAAAAATAATAATAATTTGTCTGATATTATCAAGAGTTATTACAAAACATGTAAGGTGTTCACATTTACATTCATATAAAAGAAACATTGTTAGGAAATAAATTATACCAAGAATCTTAAGGTAAGCAACTCTCTTAACACAGCCTTTGTTTCTCATTGTGCTTAGTGCCATGTTCAACTTGCATTTTAAATTAAAGAAGTGGTCTTGTCTGACACCATCTTAAGCCATATTTGGTATGCTAAAAGAAAATGGCTCATTGCTGAGAACACATCTGCTCACAGATCAGTCAGTTGCACTCTGCATTTTTCACCAGCTCCATCCTGCAACACTTGGACCTAGGCCGCAATGCTCTGGTATGCAGGTAGCAAGGAAATTAATATTCCTTTCTAGAAATGAAACATTATTCATGTCTCAAATTCCTATCTTAAGCTCGTACTAAAGATTTTAATCCAAACACTGTTTTGTATTAGCATCTCCAGATAAGTGAAGCTTAGCACCAATGCTGCATCAGCATAAGGGATAAAAGGGTGAGATATAAATTATTCCCTGAATGTTATTTTTTATTATCTGGTTTTGATAATAGAATTCTTAAAAAGCTTCATGTCTAACCTTTAAAATTTCAGCAGGGATACTTTGATCTCTGTCCTCCTCCAGTTTACACATTCTCTCCTACGCTTGGTCTTGTGTCATGTCTGCAACTCTGAGTGCAGACATCTCTCTCGTTCAAATTCAAACTTTTCTTAAGTGCTATTCTCATAGCCTTATCTAATGGCATTTAGCATGGGTCCTTAAAATTATGGGGTTCCGCATAAAATTGCTTTTGGTCAGTGCAAAATAATGTTTGCCTCATTTAGCCTAATTAGTTCAAATTTACAAGAACACTTTCAATATATTTTATACATTAAGAATGTTCTTGTTTAACTGGTCTAACATCTTCACTCATCTAAACAAATCTATGATACAGATACTAAAGTTTTACATGAGATAAACATTTATCAAAAGAGTCACAGGGAATTCTGACATTCTTATTTTGGAGTTTGTATTAATTTTTTCACTATTTAGTAGAATGTATTCAGATACTGCAAGACCTAGGATAATATTTAATGTATCCTTTCATGGTATTCTAACACTATGATTTCAGTCTAAATCCCTTATAGAACTGGTGTAACTGAGTGAGGTTTACAAAAATCACCCCGTCCATCCATCCATCCATCCATCCATCCATCCATCCATCCATCCATCCATCCATCCATCCATCCATCCATCCATCCATCCATCCATCCATCCATCCATCCATCCATCCATCTCTCCCAGTTTCTTGAGATCACAGACTATATATTCAAAAGTGCTCGGGATATTTATCATTTATAGATCGTATCAGATTGTTCTTCTGAACAATAACACACTCATTACCTGAACTTTTCTTTATCTTGCTTGTCGAGCTTAAATAAATGTTATTCCAGAGACATAAACATGTACAGCAGAGTTATTATTATTTTCAATTCAAGTCCAGCTGTGAAGATCTTGGCTCTGATGTCTGGTATGATTACTCATTTCACTCCCCTGCTTATTTCAGCCCAGTTCTCATTACCGCTCATCTGATCCACCTGCTTCAGTGTCTATATAACCAGCCTTCAGACCAGTCATCAGTGCCAGATTTTTAAAATCTTTGGTGAGAATTCTCTAGTTTACCTCAAGCATTTCTGATTGCCTGATCTTCACTCGTTCTGCCTCTGGACCTTTGAGCTTGCCTTTCCCCATTCTGATCTGTTTGCCTGATATGTCAGTCTGAACTTTAAGACCAGGTTAGTGACTCGCAGATTCAGTATCATCCTCCGCCAGATAGACATGGTCACTAACCTGCTGTCTCCTCCTGCAGAGGTTCTGGCAGTTTCTAAATAAACGTT